GCTTTAATACATTTTACAATGTCTCTCATACTCATTTATAATGATCGAACTGAAACAATTGAATGTCTAGCAACATTCAATGAATATTGTTGTATATATGATGAAATTTGTAAACTTGTTATAGAAAAATTTCATTTAAATAATTTAACATCTGATTATCATATGACATATTATGATTCTCCATATGGTTTGTGGATTAATTTTAATCTACATGTTACAAAACGAATTATTGAACTCATACGTAATTCACATTTTAAAACATTAAAAATCCGTATAGAAGAACGTCGTCAAAGAAATATTACCAGGCCACTTGTGGAGAAAAAGATTATTGACAATATACAAACCAAAGCTGTAGAAAGAGACAGTAAGTTATTTCTAATTATATTTATGAATGTTATCAGAAAAGAAAACTATAATTTAAGATGTCTAATATTTATTCATATAAGATCTTGCTTGCAATATAAGACTAAGAAAATATATGTACAATCAGTATATTATGGACATATTTGAATTTTTTTAGGATGCGCCCATTTGATTATTTGGTTCGATGAACATATTGGTAATCCTCAATGTCATAAACAACTCAAACGAGATTGTCGAGCAATGATCAATACAAATATTAGTTTCATGATAAATGACAATATTGATACTTTAATTCAATACAATAGTTGTATATATCGTATAGAACCAATATGGCGAACTCATTTACAATCTTTTATCGAAACAACTAATAATTATTCGTGTCCATTTCAATGTGTTTTGTTTACTGTAGATAATACTGATAAATTCTTTGAATATCTTAATATGTCCTTAGAATTAACTCGTTCACTTTCAATAATTATTTCAGAATATTTTGCTAAAGAAATGTTACCAATTATTTTTTCTCTTCAACAAAAACAATTACTTCCAAAAGTATTATTTCTTTATATTCTTTGTTCGGATGTTCAGAAAAATTATGATTGGGCACTTGGTTATATTGAAAATAATAGTCTATGTGTCAAAAACAATTTGCAATTTTTTGAAGATGAACAAGCTTTGTTTGTTCGCCTTCTCAATGATATTAGTCGTCATTTAACTTTAGAAGCGGATATGAAACGTGATCGAAAAGAAACTTGGTATGCTTTACAATATTATTTAGCTGCGAGACAACTTTTTCTCAATTCACTTCCGTGGAATTTTTGTTATACTTCACGTGAACTTGATTATCTTGATCAAGCTATAAAAGAATTAGAAATGGAAGTCAGAGGATCTATCATTAAAACATATCATCCATTAACTATTTATGATAAATATTCCGAATCCGATGATTATATAGCCCAGCAATGTGCTGAGATATTGGAAGGAATATGAATATTAAGAAGCAGTTCACCGGATTTTTATTATATAAATTATAAAAATATAAAATAAATTTTATTTTCGTTAATATAAACAATATTTTATATAAATTTATAGTTGAAATGAAGACAATATATAAAGTAAACAATGATTTTATTTCATCGATAATATAATGATAAGTACTGTAAATAATATTTTTTGACATTCAACGTCTTAATATTTCTTCTCAATGATCTGATCAGATTATATATGAGCATCTACATATTATTATTTTTATCCATCTATTTTAAACTAGCATTAATTTATTAAAAAGAAATTTTTTTATAGTACTTCGTCCATTACTGTTAAGAATTTATCTTGATTATATACTAGTAGAAATCAGTTAATAGATCGTTGATGATATTGAACATCTTTGAAAAATTATTCATTCTTACTATAATATGATATCTCTGCAAACATAATTATCATTGACATCTTTTATGCTTTATAATAAATTTGACGTTTCGTTTGTTGGAGAAAACTTTTTAAAGATTAACAAATAAGAATGGTATGAATAACCATCTGTTCAATTAGGCTTAGTAAAGTTATCATGCATACATTAACCAATTGACTCTAATAAATCCGTATGTTGATGATTGATGATTCGGCAGATTATGTTTATTATTAAATATAAATAAATCCTATCACAATTAACATTATTTATACTTCAGTAGTCCACTCAGAAATAACATGGACTATCTATTAATGATTTATATATATATATATATATATATACATCAATGAAATAAATTTAAATATCGATTGATATATAATAATTGATTTTTTTATGAATGTCAACAATTTTTTTGAACATCTTTGACATATTTGAGATAATCATTTTGTACTAACAACATAAATTCATTTTTTTTTTAGTTTTATTGTCAATATTATTCTTATTAATTATATACAATTGACTATTATTAACATTTTCTTGCACGTTTGAATACTCTGTTTAATAACAAAATATCTATTTACTAGTACACGTTTTCTTGCCAGATTTCCTCTTGCTAATTACACTGTCAACCGTAGCAAAGCATATCGATAGATATATATATATGTATAATATACAATCTAGAAATACATTATCAATAGACTGATGACTTCTCACGTTCTTTAACATAGTTGTCATTTTGTTGATTAGTTTTTTCTTATAGTTGATATTGTAAGCTTTTCCTTTTATTTCTATACATTTGTTCTTGATTAAAGAAACATATAGAGTATCCTATTTTTTGGTGCTCTTTCTTTCTCGTTTACTAGCTCTTATGAGATTTGACGACACAATGATGATATATATATATATATACGTGCAGCTGTTTTTTTGTATCATTCAGTTATATGAAAACCTAGCTATAGTAAATGATAGTTGTCCCTGGAGCTCGTTTGCCAATCGTCTTCATGTCACCATAGACTTATATCGTAAATGTCTATGTAAGATACAATATATATTCTTTTCTTTTTTTTTGTCTTGCCTGTTAGTTTACCATTTCAATGGTTATTCATCTTCATCAATAATATACGTGATATAATCAACAACAATGAATAATGTTCGTATGTTTATATAAAACAATTTCTTTTCTTATTTCAAGAAAAAAAAACAATTCTTGTTCATAAATATTATCGATGTGCAAAATCATGTTCAAATGTTTATGAATCGTATATAAATAGTAATTCCTTTGAGAGAATGTTTTTACTTTGAGTAAGATTACACTTATTCAGTATTTTTTATGCACTTATTACGCTCTATTGAACTTAACATGGTTGTAAGAAAAAAGTATTCAATATTAACAACAGCAGAAAAGCAAGCATTTTTCTTTCTTATAAAAAAAAACCACAGTTGTTACAATGCTTGTCTTTCTTTTCCTAACAAGTATATGCATGTCAGATGTACCACGCTATCAACAGATCAATATGTGACACTTTACGTAATATTTCAAATTTCCTAAATCATCCAAGTGTATTAATCAGTGAATTGGTTTACACACAGTCATATTTATTCTCAAGGAGAATAGGAAAACTTCATAGAACATATCATTCTAAGAATAGTAAAGAAAAGGTATGGTACCATTTAGTAAATTTCTTTCTTCTTTTTTTTTCTCCTCATTAGATTTCTTTGCTTTATTCTTGTTCTTTTTCAGCATTATTCTTTCGGCTTCTCTTTCTCGTTTTCTCTCTCAATTCTTTTCTTCACTCGTTTTCTTTCCAATATAATTCTACGCGTTTGGTCACATATCTGTCGTTCTATTGCTTTCATAGTTTCTCAAGAACTCGTAGCACAGACTCATACATCAAACTCATTGATTTTTCTTGAAAAGTCATCGATCAACAATTTGTCTTCTAATGTAATAGTGTCAGCAGATCACATCATATCAAGAAAAATCGTTGCTATTATCTATAGATCTATTTGATAACTAGATAGGTTTATAGAACAATAGAACAATCTAGTACGTATGTTTCTATAAAAATATCTATATATTGTTAAAAATGAACTTATCATATGTATTCGATTATGAAAATGATGACAATTTAAGTAATAGGAATAATAATGATAACAATTGAAGTGCTCGTATGTTTCCTTTTTTTCAACGAAAATAGTCTCTAGCTTTATCTTATGTCGCTCTCTATCTCTCTATGTGGTGTGCGTGTTTTTTAATTTGATCACACATATACGAAACACAATGTGTGCTTACATCAGCTTTCTTAGTTGATAATACTAAACGGAATAAGCAAAAACAGCACTATAGCTCTTGATGGTGTAATGACAATGTAATAGAATGCAGTCAGTTTGTACTTGGCAAAGATGCAGTAACAACAACATCAAGGAAGAAAAGAAACAGAAAGAACATTTTTTTCCTCTCTTAGCATCGTCGAGCGCCTTTTGTTCTGTTCACGGAACGAAAGGGTCTGAATATATATTCCTTCTCTCTCTTCTTCTTCTCTCGATCGTATGCACGTCATCATTGTTGTTATGTAGTGGCAATAGCCCATCCAACCTCGTTTACAGGGCAATGCCTGCTGCGCGCGAATGCGCGGTTCTCTTGTTGAGTAAGTTTCTGTATTTCTTTTTCTTCGTTCTGTCTTTTTTTTTCTTCTTTTCTATATTCTTTTTTTTTACTATTTGCGTTACAACCACCATGTATGAGAATGCGTGTATACGTGGTTGCAATAGCAGCATCAGCTCGTTTTTGTTACTGGGCGCCCACTCAACGGCGGCGACGAGAAAAAGTATAGTACACGTAAGCACACGTACGAATAAATGAGAGAATGAGAGAAACCAGTCTATTCGATAACTACTGTACTATTGCATCTATAATATATCGACAATTATTTTGGAGACGCTTCTTTGACGAGAAAAAAAACGCAACTACATGAGAGACTAGTAGATTCGTCGCATTATGTGTGTGTGTGTGTATGTGTAAGAACCTAACAATTCAACAACAAAAAGATCTGTGCAATCATTTTTATTACATTATTTACTTTCTATATAATGGCAAAAAAGGTTATCATCATCATCATCAACTGAACAAGCAGCATGTCTTAACTCTACACTATTGTAAAGGTTAACTCTGATCTGTTACGCCATACCATTGATTCATTTATTTCATCGAAAGTCAATCACAATACATACATATATATATATATATATGTGTGTGTGTCTGTATGTATGTATATATGTGGATATATGGCTCACTCATCTCAATTACATTGATCTCCATTATCGTATATTTAACGAAATATTAGAATGTGATTATATTTCGTTCTTTTGTAGGTTTTTTTTTGCTTTTTTTTCAACTATCGTTAGCCTTCATTCACCTGATGGTGATGGTAGACCGATAAGAAAAA